TGGATGAAACGCAAGGGTGGAATGAAGGGGGCTCGAGGGGGCAATGGATGAAACACAAGGGGGGAATGAAGGGGGCTCGAGGGGGCAATGGATGAAACACAAGGGGGGAATGAAGGGGGCTCGAGGGGGCAATGGATGAAACTCAAGGGGGGAATGAAGGGGGCTCGAGGGGATGGATGAAACACAAGGAGGGAATGAAGTGGGCTCGAGGGGGCAATGGATGAAAAACAGAAGGGGGATGGACTCACATGGAAGAGCCTGGGTAGTAGCTCGTCCTATCTGGTGCGGGGCTGTTGATGTGACGTGAGCGAGTTCGGCACAGCACCCTGGCAGCCCGTGTCGGGAGTGACTGCTGGGCTCTTCGCCGGTGGAGGAGTACGGACCATGTCGACGTCGGCTGCTCCGAGGGAGGGAGGGGGGCACAAACCTGACGGACCGGGGAGCCCCGAAGAATGGCCTTTGACGCGGAAGTTGCGGGTGTGAGGGGCTCAACTTGTACCAGGGGCCCTCAGTTAACCATCAAAAACCAAGTTTTTCCTAGCAAAGACATGGTTTTTGTATGTGAAAACATGTGTGTTTCATGGTTTTGAGGGCCCCTGGTACAATCTATTGTACTCATGCAAACTCCTAGATAATGTCTACCCTTTGTTTGAAGAAGTTTGAGAATCCAAGTGGGAGGGGATTTGATGAACCCAGATTCATTCGTTCGACCGAAATAGAGAGGCAAGACCACGACACCAGCGAACGCCGGTCAGTCACCGGTCCAGCGGATCGAAAGTCGTCCAATCGCAGGTATTGGAGTCCTGGCTGTTCGTCGAACCCCCCGTCCCGAAACAAACCCCAGGCTGGGCTGGGGTACTCAAAGCTTCCACTCACTGGATGGGACGACTCCCGTGGATCATGACGACGAAATGGTTGTTCCTCCGGACGTGCTTTCTTCGCCGAACATGCGCGTGTTCACGCGCGGTGCGGCGGTTCGCGGCTGAGGGGCTGGTGGCCACGCCATAGTCGAAGGCCGTGAAGGCGGGGCTGAAGCCCAAGATTGGAGCTTTGGCCTTAAAGACCGTAGGGCTCCAGTCGTACCTCCTCAGGTGTGTAGACTGGTCTTAGACCCTAAACTAACCTCAAACACCCACATGATTGGACTCTGGAAAATCATGGTAGACGTGGATGGCACCAGCGGTATAGATCGAGGGCATCCCTTTCGGGGCCACTTTCCAGTTTCATGATCACTCCAGGGAGTCTATATCTGAAGACTCCCGGGAGTGCAACAGAAGAGGCAGGTGGCCCCACAGGGTCTCTTTAGCCTTCGACATGCCAGATGAGACCAATCAACATGCATGCATCAACAATATAGGTGGCCCCATGCACATTTTCTTTAACACACGTTCTGTTTCTGTGTTTCTGTGTTAGAGATCCACATAGATCCACTGAAAACACCTCGAATATCAGGTACTCTTAGAATCAAGGACCCTCAGTTCGGTGAAGGTTTGGTTCGGGTCCAAGGGTCCCCTGCGTTCTGGGTCCAAACCCTCCAGTTCGGTGGTCGGCTCCAATGATTCTTAGGGTCAACCAACACCGACCGCCCCCAGTCCCCCGCTCCTCCGCCCGATCCCCCGCATCGTCAACCACACGTCTGGGGGCGTCGATGCTGTTGGGATTGCGCACGGAGACCCGGTAGCGCCTCGCCACGCGGGCCCAAACACTCCATGTATATGACCTACTTGGAGTCCGTGTCCCGATAGACTTTTCGTGCCGAACCTCAGGTCCGGTGAGCAGGTTCGACACTAGTAGGTGCCAGGAGGGTCCAAGTAGGTTCTAAGGAGGTATGTGGATCCTAGGTACTCCCTAGGGTATATAGGGCCGATGGGATCTTGGAGGGGTTCTTCCAAGCGGTGGAAATGGAGCAAGATCATATTGTTTTGGGAGGTGTCTCTATTTGACACATTTATACCAGGACCTTCCAAAAGAGCGGTCTATGTATAGCCTCTTAGAGGTGAGTCTTGGTCTCCCAAAAACCCTCGAAGCAAGGGGTTCGGTCCTGGAATGGGAATCTGCCGCGCGTACCCTTCCCTACACCTCCAGTCGTACCTCCGAAACGGTTTGGTCTTCGACCCGAACCTGGCACCCGGGCGGCCGTCCCACCGGACCGAAACGCTTCGGTACGACATGGAGTCATGGAGGTGGTATAGGGCTTCAAAAGAGGGGCTTCACGACGGTTCGCATCGTACCTTCGTTTCGGTGCTCCCTGGCGGTCGTCGTGCTGTCGGCTCCGCACGGCTCCGCACGACTGGAGGGAAAGCCGCGTTCTTTGGGGTCCGTCTGCTCGGATCCCGGAGGAGCAACTGCCATCGAGCTAAAACCTATTGTTTTGTTTCGGGTGCGGATCCTTAAGGGAAGAAACAAGGTCTGAAGGTCCCCAAAACTGATGGAGCCCCGTTCGTAGCGTCCGATCGCTCCGTTCGTCGCGATGCCCGTTGGTCCTAGTAGCATCTTGTTCCTATAGTATAAGGCCAGGAGCCCCTAGTAGCGTCCTTGTTATAATTATTGGTAGTAAGGCCAGGAGCTATGTTCGCAGCGTCCTTGCTCCGTTCGTAGCGATGCCAGGAGCCCCTAGTATAGCTAATATAGCCACGTAAGCCATTCAAGAAGAGGAAAGGATGAAAACGTAAGGAATTGTTTCTTCTTCAAGTTCGTGACCAAACTTTGGATTCCCTGAAATGGATTCCCTTTTTAGAGGCCCAAACTCGTGACCGACCCAGTTCGAGGGACTCAAGTTCGCTCACGAACGGTCACGAACTATAGGTGCACTTCCTGATACGAACCAGGGAATCATCGTGGAAGTGGATGGCATCGCTTGCTTGTCACATATTCATCCAAAATCAGGGCCATTCCATTCACCTAACCATGTTAATTCCAGGGAGTGTAGACCCCATGGATTTCAGGGTCCTATGTATTTCTCCGTGGGATGGAGAATGCGCTTCTGCAGTTGGAACATGGTAGAGGTAGGATGCTTCAGCGTGAAGGCTGGCGTATAGCTTGATGGATTGATTGATTTCCTTAAGAAACCTGACAAAATATAAAATATTCTCCAGAAGGGGACTTACCCATAGGAAACGACACCTTTAGGCGAAACCAGGTATTCATTGTGTTGTCAGTTCTCCTTGATGGACCCCGAAATTACACCCCAAACATCCTCAAACTGGACCCTGAGAATTGACCGGTTGTTTCGACCCTTGTCCCAATACCAACCCAATGATTTTGGGGGTCCGTCCATGACGGTCCATGTGGTCTGGCTGCACAACTCCAGAACACAAGTTGCCCCTGCTACTAGTAGCTTCGTGCTACTAGTACCAGCACCTTCCAAAGGGTGCCTAGAAAGAACCTCTTAAGCCTAGTCACCAGAAGTAGCCTCTTAATTTTCATGTATATGTTCTTATGGATCTGAGGGGTTCGGAGCTAGATCACCCTTTGTTACTACTATAGCGATGCCCCTGCTACTAGTAGCGATGTCCCTGTTGGGGCTTGGCTTGTTGCCCATGGCCCTCATCTGACACGGGCGAGGATGGCGACGACACGTCATGGACGACGAGTCGTGGAAGGGGTCTGCACGATCGGATGGTCATGAAATCCGCAGACCAAATACCAGGCCCCCGCCATTTGGGGTGGTTTTTGTTGGATACCCCGAATCACCTCTGGTCGGAGCTGTAATTAGACACACCCCAAACAGGGTTCCCTGGTTATATATATGTCGTGGTGCCTTGCCATGTAACTTTAAAGCAGGATGACTCCGGGAGTACAAGTTTGTTGATCCTCATCTCGAAGAAAATGGGCTCCAACACGACGAGAGCGAGTGCTCACACTCCGACCATCTTGAAACCTGAGTGGGAAAGACTCTATTCCCAGACGCGACCCTGGACCCTCATATGGAGAGGTCGGACCCTCATATGGAGGGGTCTGGGGTCTCAAATTCCTAGGGTTTTGAGGTACCAAGAGCTGTGAACGTTTATAAATATATTCAGCCATATCCACTATGTCCACCCCTCATCGATCCCAATCATGTCATGGGATGCTGGGATTGCAACCTTCACACACAGTCACCTTCAAATCACCGTAACTGCTGAGCTACGCGATGGAAGCAATGCGATACTTCCTGCGCAGAACGACGACGGGAAGGAATGACTACAAAGCACCCGGTGATACCAAAAGCGAAGGCCAGGCAGGGTACTCACACGGCATGCCCCAGGGTACTCACGGGCGACTGGCACACACTTGGAGGATAGGATCATCATGGATCATCCAAAGAAATCAATGATTCTTTGTCATGATAACACCCCCTGAATTCATGGATTGGCAAGAAGCTTGCACGATCGTCCACATTCATGTTGCTGGTTCCTTGGTGTGCGGCCTCTCTCCACCATTGCCATTCTGAGTCCAAGTGACGCAAACGGTCCATCAGCAGCGTGTATCAATCCCTACACCTCAAAGTACCTCCTCAGAAGGTGTTTAGACCCTCCAAACCCACCCCAAACACCTTCAGAAGGTACTTGGAGGTCTAGGGAACGTGCCAAGGATCACCCTGCTCTCGAGTCAAGTTGTATTGAACCTCCTGCTGATCCCCTTCCCGGTACAGAACTTGACCCGATCACAGAACCCAGCACATGCGCAAAGATACGAAACACCCTCCCAAAAAGATCCCTTCTGAGAAGGCACTTGGACCATATACTCGCCCTGGAATTAAGATGGAAGTGGACAACCACCTGTTTCTAGTGGATTTCATGGGTCTTCCTTACGGGGCCATGCTCCACGTAACCATGTTACTTCCAGGGAGTGTAGTGTCCAATCACCTCAGAAGGTATGTGGATTCTCATGAAAACCACCAGATTTTTGTTGCTGTCGCGGACATCCGGGCGCTTCCGCACCATCCCCGTCACCGAAGCTCAGGTTCGGTACGAAAACGGATCCCTCGGGCTTGTCTGCCTACATTGACCCCACTGCCATCACTCCTGGCCTTTTCTCTCCAAAGACGTCACTCCCGTCTACGGGTCGCGTCGATGGGTTTCGTTTCAACGGAGTCCTTTCAGTGCGCTGAGGATCACCTTGAGCATGCTCCACGACAATCTCCTGGAGAAAGGCGGAACTCCCCAGCAGGGCGACTGGTCGCCGATCCGGACAGCAAGTCGACCAACATGAAAAGCATGTTGGACTCCCACTATAACCCGTGCCAGGGGATTCACCCAGTTCAACAATATGAAAAAACAAACACATCCGAATCCGAACATCATCACGCTGCAGCAGATTCGCATGGAACCTGGAAACCATCACCAGATTAGCTTGTGCTTTTGACATCGTCTTTCCAAGGTTCTGGTCCAAGCTCCATTTTGCTCCAATGTGAAGCTTGGAGGTGTGCAGGAAGGCAAAACCAAGCATTTTGCTCCATCGTCTTCACGCCTCCAACCGCCGTCTCGGCGGTTCTCCCGGCTAGAGACATCGAGCAGCGTAGCGACGGCCCGTGGCATCCGCAGCAGCGATGCGGAAACGACCGACCGGGGGCGAATCCGGTCCTGATGCAAGTAGCGCAGAACGCCTTGAATATCCTGAGGGGACCAGGAACCAAAGGGACCAGGAACAGAAGGGAGACCGGAACTGTGCGAGGTGTTCAGTTCTTTGAGGGACGCCCCAGTTGCAGCGACTCCGCAGGGGGTGTCTTTCGCGGTGCAGAGGCGACCGAGATGCGAGAAGACGGACGTGGAACAGTGGAAGGATGCGCCGTTTTGTTCGTCAAGTCGTGTACCAACCAAACAACCCCATCCAGGTTGACATCGATGATTGCTGTCCGAAACGAGTTTTCTGGGCAGGTGGGGCGCCCCAGGTCCGGCTTCTCAGGTGACTCGTGTGCTTTCTTTCACCTCAAAACGGTTTGCTGTCGAACCTGGAAAAAGGCTTCCAGGAATGGGGACTGACCCATAATCCCATAGGGAAAAAATCAGCAAGCAATACCAGCAGGGGAATCAAGGCACTTCGTCTTTATCCCTCCAGATCTGGTTCTAGAATCACGAGTCAAGCCCTGACTGGACATCCCACTTGATTGTGAGTCCCAGTTGGAAGACTGGCTGTTCTGGAAGGTCAACAACATATTTGAAATCTTTTCCAACCACTGGAGACACGTGACGTGGAGACAAAAGAAAAAACATTGCAAACGGAACATAGCGCAGACAAGGCTCAGCTAAATTGTTGTTGGTCATATTTCTGGTTTCCTTGCCTGCCATCGCACTGGTCGCACATCGCCCACATCGCGGCTGGTCGAAACAACAAACAGCAGCTGTACGTCTTGACCTCCATAGTTGGACGGTTGCGTCGACTCAAAAACCAGAGGGTCACAGCAACTTGCTATTCCGCAAGGAAGCGGACGAAATGGCACTTTAAGACATTTTAAGACTAAAACATAAATGCTTCTCTACTCCACCAAGCCATGCCGTGATTTCACATGCACCTAGTTAGTGACCTTTTGCGGTCTACTTGAGCCTTAAAAGGTCACTTGGGAACCCTCTACCACGGTCATGTCCTGAAGAAGCTGGTATGTCCTGAGCCCGGTCCATGATCCGACCTGAGCTCACAGGATTCTTCGCCGCGCGGAACATGTCCACCACCTCAGGGGAGGATCTCCAACTGCTCAGGGGGGGGGGGACATGGCGGGGCAGCAAAATGCGCCATGTTTGACATCTCAAATCCGAATCAACATGAATCAACTTCCATTTTTTGTGTCATTCAACATCATCAAATTCGCTTTTCTTCGTGAACCACTGTCAGCTCGTAGGTGATGTAGCTGGATAGGATTGGATCATACCTTATAGCAGCCTTAGCACGAATCATATCGAATCATCTACTTGGGGCAAAGTCTGTCCTTTAGTGCCCTCCCTTTGTGCCCTGCCTGCACATCTGTAGCAGCACATAGTGCCATCAATATCCACAGTCTTCTAAACATCGTTGGCCTTAGCATCCGAGAGAGTAGCGGCGCATACTCTGGTGCAACTGTGCCAAGGCCTGGGCTGAAACACATCTCCAAGAAGCTTAGCAGGCATTCAGAATTGGCGACAACGTGAGGATATACATCCTGGAAGATTAAAAAGGAACCGGAAAACCGCTGAGTTGTAGAGGAATATATAGTCTTGGTCAACTTTCAGGTTCCATGTGGGTCTTTTCCCAGTGCAAATCAAGAGATCCCGGCCTATTCTGATCACTGGCAGCTCGCGCTCTCTCTTCATCGTACACCAATGAACCTCCCTCAATCCCGGATCCACAATCCACAATCCCCAAGTGAAACCTGCCAGCTCCGCTCCACTTCCAGTCCACGCAGCAAGTAACGAAGCGGAACACCCGGCGGCACGGAACACCACCGGCTTGGTCCAGTCAGCTGCAGGTCACGAGTGAACCCCGTGCGGGCACGGCCCGGGGCAGCCCATGCCGCGTCAGACCCTCGAGCTACGCTGGACGTCACAGAAACAGGTTCTGGACGTCACCAACAGAGGTTAAGTGACCTGAACTAGGACCCTGCAGGGGTACCTATAGGATAGTCGAACTAGGGTTCTTCAACCTCTGCTGGCACTAAGCAGTGTGGGGCTTCGAACCTTCTTCCAAGCCATGGCCTTTACCCCCAAAAATCACAAAACACTCCTGCAGTTCCATGTCGGGATGCAGTATCCATGGAGGTCGTCCGCATGCCCCGGTCACATCCACTCACTGGATCCTGCATGGGACGAGCCATACCATCCAGGCCCTCCATGTGACTCCTGGCTACTTTCAAACCGCGCTGCCCTCCACCATGCTGCTCCTGCTCCCCCCACCTCCAACCTATACATCTTCCCACTCCCAAAGCTGCAACATCCCGCGTCGACCGGATAAAGGGGGCACCCCATCGGAGGAGGGCACGTTCCTGAGAAGCGCGGCCAGACGCGCCCGATTGGCCTGGGTCTACAGGACCCGTCATGCGGGGTACCTATATCGATAGGCTCCCAAAAGCAGACCAATTGAGACGACTTAAGACTAAGCACACCAATTGAGGGCAACTTCAGTCGATGAAATGAGATGCGGCATTATGCTGCATTCGACGCCCGTCACCTCCGTTCGCCACGACGAAAGCTGAGTTTGTTAAGTGATCCAGTCGTACCTTCTCAGAAGGTGTTTGGGGTGGGTGCCAGGAGGGTCCAAGTGCCTTCTGAGAAGGTACGACTGGATCCCTAGGGTAAGAGAGTTCCGTTATTTTTGTTTTGACCTGGTCGGGTTTGAGTCGAGCTCTACGGTCTAAGGCTCCTGTCCCACCTCCTGCAGGTTGACCTCCTAATACTAAATGGCCCGTGAATAATACTAAATCTTAATGGGGGGTTTATTAATACTAATGCTGGCCCGTGAATCATGGGGGGGTTTATTCATAGGAGGTGGACATTAGTTCAACCCCCCGAACCATGCTAACCCACCGGCCAGGAGCCGGTAGGCCAGGAGCCCTAAGGTGAGTGAAGTTCGATCTCGGAAGAGCTTCCACCAAGGTCACCGTGGTCCACCAGGTAGGGGTCCGTCGGTCCGCCATCGACCAACGAGCGATTCCTGCATCACTTGGAGTTGCTGTCCTGGTGCATGACTTGGAAAACAAACCCGTTTGGCCTCCAGTCGTGCCTTCTGAGGTTCGGTGGGACTGGGGTGGGTGCCAGGAGGGTCTAAACCGTCGAAACACCTTCTGAGGAGGTACTTGGAGGTGTAGGGAAAGTAAAACCATGCAAAATTGCATCGTCTACGAGCTGCTTCCGTTCGGGGTTACCTTGCTGAAAAAGGTCGCCAGACAGGACACCCAAAAAGGAAGCGCTAGGTAATTATATGTCCCAGGAACTCAGGAACTCAGGAACTTGGAGATGGACCACCCCAAGATCTGGCATTCTTCTGCCACCTGATCTGCAACACCCAACCCATGACCTCGGACCGGACCGCTCCGGGCCGGGTTCGGAGGTCGTTCCAATGCCCATCGAACATCAGGCGCTTTGGTGGTCCTGAAGCTCCTCACAACTCTGAGGCTCCCCACAGCTCCTCGGAGGGGGGCGACCTCGGAACACATGCACTCATCACCCGCTAGGGATCCAAGTACCTTCTCAACAGGTGATTGGAGACACCGCTATGTAGGTTTGGAGGGTCTAATCACCTGCTCAGAAGGTACTTGGATCCCTAGGGACCCAAACCCTGAGCATGTGGGGCGGGGTGGGGACGTCCCCCTGGATCCGATCAGATCCATGGGCGCAGGGGCAGTGCATGGCCGTGCCCTGCGGATGAAACCAACACCTTGCCCCGATCACAGGCAGCCCCCGATCAAAGGGGTCCATACTCCTATCCTACCTTGCTCCTAGTAGTCAGTATAAGGCCAGAGCCCCGTTCGTAGCGTCCTGGACCAAGCATCTGGTGTATGGATGTGCATGGTGTTTTCCCCGCTTTCTCACGATGCTTCGCCGGTCTCCCGGCTCCGCGCAGCAGGGTGTGGGAGTGGCTATGGCGGGGAGGGGAGGGCAGGTGGGTGCCGGTTCCAGTGCCCGAAGAAACAACATCCACTCAGTGAGGAGTCCGGCTCCTGGACTTTCTTTGTTGACCCCTTTGGAACGGAGGCATTTTGGCCACACTTTCGGCCAGGTTTCGTCGCCATTCCAACATCAACAGAAGCAGCAATATTGAAGGTCACCATCTTAGCTTCAAAGGGCACTCTGTTATTCAACTTGTTGGTACCATCTTACTGCTTCGTTTCCCGGAGCCAAAGCATCAATCCTTTAACCCAGTAAAACCTGGGTCTTTAACATCAAGTACAGTGACTTGTGTACGACCACGTCTAGGAGCAATGAGGTCATTGACCTGGAACGGCACAACAAAGACTAACACAAAGACTAGTCATCACATGCACCCCAAGCTTCAGGGAGGGAGTGCATGCTGGTCATCAACTTCCCTCTGGGGTCCGGAACGGCATGGGCTGCACCAAGTGGCGCCCCCACCTCTGGCAGGGTGAATGGAGAACACATTGGAGATGAACCACCCCAGGGTTTTAAGACTTTTGGGGTGAGGATTCTATTGAGTTATATATACCAGTACCTTAGCCCTCCGCCATTTCACATAAAGACCAGCCCCCCCCCCCAAAAAAAAGAGCACACATGTTCCATATAGTTTGAAGATCTATAAGAGGGGAATGTGGTTGCAATTGAGCATGTATCCCAGAAGCTTTTGGGAGACCAAGTCCAAACAAAATGAACGGAACTAAGAACATGACCTGGAAAACCTGAAAAACGCACGTCTGTTTCTTTCTGGGTAGGGGTCTTTCCCGCCATCACCCGACAGGCATCCAGAAGCTGAATGAGGTGCCATTAATTCATCAAAGTTTCAACATGAAAAACACCATTATTATATGAGAGGGCTTGGGATTTCTGGCATGTCCTGAGGACGTGGATGTGTCTCAACAACTCCCCATCCTTGGCTGTAGCCTCCGCCTCCACGCTTGCACGCTCCCCCCTTCACTAATCGGAACCACCCCCACCAAAGGCCCTCACGCAAATCAACAAGTCACGCTTAAACTGAGTCAACTCCAAGTGGTGGTCCTCTGTCAGTCTGTCCTCTTTCGCTGGGATCCAGGTACCATGCTGCTCAGTCAACACACAACACATCTCTCCATCGCTTCTCTCTCTCCTGCCATCGAGGCACTGTATCGCCTGCATGCGCTGCCTTTCCAAGTCCTGCCAACGCCGTTCTGAGCGCGACGAAAAAAAGAACGCTGCATGGCAGAACAAATCAGAGTGATTTGCCCGACCCAATATAATATCTGTGACCCCCGTAATTACTTTGAAGATATTACTTTCAAGAGGGTTACAGAATTGTTGCAGATGTTTAGAGATGTTACTTTTATGCACTCTTAATTGATCAATAAATGAAAGTTGCTTTTGTTTGGAGCGGGCTTCGGAGCTCAGCCCGTACTATGGACAGGGCGAAGGATGGTGTTTCAAGAGCCCCGTCCTCTTGTTCTCTCTCTCACCATTGACGGTGTTCTGAGTTGACCTTACTCAAATGGTCGATCCTCCCCAGAATGAGTCCGTTTTGGGTCCAACATGTTCCCCTAGGGATCCAAGTACCTTCTCAGAAGGTGTTTGGGGTGGGTTTGGAGGGCCCAAGTGCCTTCTGAGAAGGTACGACTGGATCCCTAGGGACAGTCAGGCGTCCGACACCACCGGTGCCCCGGCCGGTCCCCGGTGCCTGACGGTGTCGAGCCAGCTCGGCGGCCTCACCCCGTCCGAGGACGGCGACCGGACGGACCGTGCCATCTCGGCCACCCCACCCCACCCCTGGCTGAAGCGAGTGTTTCGGGGGCGGAGGCGAAGTAGGGTGGTCTAGACACCCCTGTGGTGAACCCGCTCCAAGAATCCGCCCCAAATCTGTGGTACTGGATCCACATTACCTTCTTTCGGTGATGTGTTCGTGCATTTCGGTTTGGAAGAGTCGTACCGAACCTGAGAAAATCCTTAAGGGTCCCTATTACTATAATAATAGTGGATGGTCCATGGTGTTCAAATCAGCATACTTTGATATACCTGGAGTCTCAATTTGGACTCCTAACACCCGTTGGTCCCTCAAAAGCTAGGGATGGGTTCGACCCAAAAACCCCTTATGAGTGTCAATGAGCGTGTTGTTGTTGTTGTTGTTGTTGTTGTTGTTGTTGTTGTTGTTGTTG